AACACCCCCTTCACCTCATATAATTAACATTTCTTTTCTGTGGTGACAACATTTAAGATCTGCTCTCTTGGCAACTTTCTTTTTCCTTCCAGTTTCATTGCAACGTAACTGACATACAGCACTGTATAAGCTTAAAGTATAAAGCATAATGACTTGACTTACACACATCATCAAATGATTAGCACAGTAAGTTTAGTGAACATCCATCATCTCCTATAGACACAAAATAGAGGAAAAATATATTTTTCCTAAAATATATATTTTTTATATATTTTTTTTCCTGATGATGACTGTCAATTATGTAATATAGTATTGTTAACTATAATAACCATGCTGGACATTAGGTGCCCAGAATTTATTCATCTTTTAACCAGAAGTTTGTTTTCTTTGACAAATATCTCTCCATTTCCTCAGCCTCCAGGACTGGAAACCACTGTTCTATTCTCTGTTTCTATGAGTTCAGCAGTTTTAGAACACATAAGTGATCTCATACAGAATTTCTTTCTCTGTCTGACTTATTTCACTTAGCATAACACCCTCAAGGTCCTCTATGCTTTTGCAAATGGTAGGATTTTCTTTTTTATCATAGCTAAATATTTCATGTGTGTGTGTGTGTGTGTGTGTGTGTGTATTCATCCATAGGTCAACACTCAGGTTGTCGGTTATTGTGAATAATGCTGCAGTGAACATGGGAGTGTAGATATCCCTTTGAGATCCTGATTTCATTTCCTTTGAATATATACCCAGAAGTGGAATTGCTGGATCATATGGTAGTTCTATTTTTAACTTTTTTGACGACCCTCCATACTGTTTTCCGCAGTGTCTACAGTATGGAGGTTCCTCAAAAAAGCTAAAAATAGAATTACCACTGGAATTTTGACAGAGATTGCATTGACTCTGTAGATTGCTTTGGGTAGTATGGACATTTTAACAATATTAATTCTTCCAATCCAAGAGCACAATTTATGTCTTTGGCATAGGTTAGTGGAAGATTATTGTGATTCTTTGGTGATACCCTGTTTTATTGATTTTTCACATTTCTTGGGGTTTTGTGGTGCTGGCTTTGCATTTGAAGTAGCAGCCACCTCCTCCAGTCTTTACCAACTGCCCTCCAGAAAGAAATATCTTGTATCAGCCCTGCTATGGATTCTGAGACTTTCTCAGGCCTTCTACGGATACACCTACTCCACGCTTCTTGCTCTCTTATTGCAGAATTCTTAAGCTTGTACACCTTCTTTCAGTCCTGCAACCCATCAGGCCAAGCACTGTCAATCTCCCTTTTTTTCCTTCAAAATTAACACAAAAGCTCAAGTCTGTGCTCCTTCCTTGGCCTGCAGATTCCGGCTTATCTTACTGCATGTGCTCACTAGATGTCTGGCAAAGCTTTCCATCAGGAGGGCACACCGGGAGCCAGGCAGGGAGAGTTGTGCTGAGAGCTGGGGGTACCTGGGGGGCCAGCTGGGGGTGTCAACTGAAAAAAGACTCACAACAGGAGAGCTGTGAGTTTGATTTTATTTGGGGCCTTGCTGAGGGACTGTAGCCCAGGAGACAGCCTCTTCGATAGCTCTGAGGAGCTGCTCAGAAGAGGGGAGACGGGCGAGATCAGTACGGATATGATTTTGGTGAAGGGGGTATGTGCGATTAAGCACACATCTTAGTAGAAAGTTGCTGCCAGTCATGAGGAGCAGGTGTCTCTGTTAATGATTTTATTGCTTTTCTAGGTAAGAGAAGATGCAAGAAATTGGGTTCATAAAATTTTTTCCTGAAAGTATAGATATTTGAAAGCCTGTTCTGCCAGTTTTTCCCAGAGCACAGAGGGCCTCATTCCTGATCTCCGCCCTGAACTCCTTTCAGGGTGTGTTGAAGGTCAGTGACTACAGTGGCTAGTGACCTTGTTCTTGTGGAACCCGATGGGGGGGGCGACTTTTTTTGTTGTCAGTGGAATCCACTGGTGACGTGTCCCCAGCAACTCAAGGGCAGGCGTCTTGATGGAGTCCGCAGTGCAGTTAGCAGGGTCCACATCCCTTTAATGCCCTCTGAAAGTGCTGTCTGCTGCTTTCTCAATCTCTCCCCACCCCTCCGTCATGCAGCTCACGACTCAGTCCTCTGGATGCAGTGAGAGAGAAATAATGTCCCACACAGCTGAGGAAGCCAGATGTTCATTTACACACTCTGCTTCCTCTGTGGAGGAAATCATTGGCAGCGGTATGTCTCTTGGCCCTAAGTTGTGCTGCCTTCGGGGAGGGATGACGGGGGTGGATAAGTCAAACTGTTTTTCTTTCCCTCTCCATTGCATTCAAACTTGTTTTGGGGTTTTTTATTTTTGTTGGGTTTTTTGTTTTTGTTTTTGTTTTTGCTCTAACAGAGTGCTGGAACTTCTGTGCTAGAAACCTGGATTTCCACAAAGGCTCTCTTGTCCATGGGTGATTCTAAGATAGTGTTTTGCAGGGGCCCCCAGACTGCAGCCCAGAGGGTTTGGGGCCAGTTCACAGGCCACTGCTGGGCCCAGGGCTGGGACCGAGGTCTGTACGCCTATTAGCCAACGCACAGGTGGGCGAGACTCCTCCCAGGTCCCCTGGGTCTGGGGCTGGGTCCCACAGCTCCCACGAAGGCACTTTTGTCCAGGGACGGATGCCAAATTGTTGCTGAGGGGAGGGACACAAACCAGGGGCATCTTATTCTTCCATGATGCTGATGTCAGTCCTATTTAATTTAATTGCTCTTTATATTAAATAAGAAATTATTATTTCTCCTGGGTTTGAGCAGCCTCAGCTGTGTCTCTGGGTCCAGCATTCCATTAACACACTGTCACCAAAATCCAAGCAAACAAAAAATCAAATGTTCCTAAAACCTTTGACAAAGATGGTATAGGTACAGTTTGAGACTGTTTGCCTGAAAAATCCACAAAGAAGTCCTACTTCTCTGTTTCCCATTAGTAGCTGGCACGGCTTGTGAGAAAATCAAGTAACAACCTCAGCTGTAGAACAAAAGTACTGACTATGAGCATGATCTTTGAAGGTGACCCTGGGGTCCCCCAAACTCACCAGAAATCTTTAGGAGCCTGCGGGCTGGTTACAGGTCCTTCCCAAGAGAATGACCTGGGTTGTTAAAGGACTCCTGAGTCCAAAGGGGC